CACACACACACACACACACACACACACACACACACACACACACACACACACACACACACACTCACTCACAGTTTCTCCACACCAGTGTTTAATCTGTGTCTCCACCTGAGATTGGGATGGGGATGTAGTTTTACTATCCACAGTCTACTGGTGGTTTTAATATTTAATTGGAGTATCAGAGTAAGGCGTCCCGCTCTATGGGCTGCTTAGCCCTGTTAGCCGTCTCCTCTGGCGTCTCTGTGTAGCTACAGTGGCAATACGCACCTTAGTATCACTAACATGGACAATAGGTTAACTGGATACATCCAGATTAACTGAAGTGTTTCATTTTTAAACTGTTGTACATCCCGCCTAATATCACACTTGTACACAGAACGATGTGTGCTGCCAGACGACTGAAAAAGCTGCACTTAAACTGAGCCTCTGTGCGGTTAAAGCAGTTGGCTCATTACCTGATATTTGACCATCAAAGTCAGAAAAAGCACAACCTCTCAATTTATTAGCAACTGTTTTCTATTTAAATACAGTTATAAAGATAGTCTCTCCCTACCCCTCCACACCCATTTAGGACTACTTTATGGACCCTGCCTCTTGCACATCTCCTTTTGTATTTTTTGCGTAGTCATTTATTATTATCACTGCAGCTTATGAATCACACATCACTGTCTTTTGTGATGCCAAATTTGTTTGTGATCTATCACAAATAACAAGAAAACGCATAGATTTCTGTCAAATGAGACAACACAGACTCATTGCCTTTAGGCATGCCGATCATGCTTACTGCTCTGCTCCGTCAACCTCCAGAGGCTCATTCTGAGGCAGAAAAAGAAAAGACTGCAATATCTTAACAGATGTTTATCCATGCTGTTTAATAAATACAGCTGTGCATTGAAAATAGTGTTAATCAAATACCAAAGGTAATTCGTATTAAGGAGCATATTTAAATACAAAGTCCATAAATAACTATCAGTTGGTAGGCTATTCATTCAGGAAATTAATAGACGCTGGGCCTTGTTGCCCCTGAGAGAGAAAGACAGAGAGCTGCAGAGCAGAGGAAGTAAGAGAGAAGAATAGAGTGTGTGTCTTTGTGTATGTTTTTGTATGTGTATGGCTGTCCCCACGCTTGTGTTTGTTTGTGACCTTGGCTCCAAACTAATTATGTGCAATGCACCAGGGAAGCCCATGCTTCCCCCCTAATGCTTTCTAAACAATCTGACGGAGGCTGAGTGCCTCCGCGCCATAATTAGTTGGTGATCCTTGCTCTGACCTCGTCTTAGACCCTCTCACATCCACTATACACTATTACACTTAACTGCGGCCATGAAGGTGGGGGTCCAGGGTTGGCGGGTGGCAGAGTTTGTCTGTGCAATTACATTTGCGAGCTGCCTTCTAAGCACCTTATATTTCCAGTGTTTTGTGTGGAGCCTGTGCCACACTGGTGTCAACTTGTTTTGAACCAACTGGTGCAAAGTGTTTAAAGTTTAATTGCATAACAATGCAGAATAAACTTTTAAATGGGGATGTTTGAAAACCACTAAATGGTTGGGAAATTTCATGAAGAGAAATGTGTCTTCTTCCATCCATCCATGAACCACAGCTGGTGTGCTTTTCTTGCTATTTTATGTAATTACCTGGTGTACAGTGGAAATACTTTTTTAAAACTGTAAATTGGCCATTAGCTCTGGTTTTAGTACTTCACCACCACGCTTCTCTCTCACCTAAAAGTGAACAGAGTATTTTTGGCTGTCAATTCACTTAATCGGCTTCTCTAATGAGCTGCAGTTTTAATTGGCAGCAGTGCAGCCCCCGCCTCTAAAGAGCATGCTGGGATGAAAGATAGGTTGGAGAGATCCAGGCTATTCTGATTTTGATGTTTTACAAAATCAGATGGACAATTTATTTTGTGAGGAAACATGACCGCTCTTGTTAGTCTTCACGGTTCTAGATCATAAAAATGTCGACAGATGCCTTCTTTAACCGCTTGGGATTTTAAAAGGAACATTGCTCATGTTAAGAGCATGTGCTCTTGATGTGTGCACTACCACACACATGCTGCTTTACTGGACAGTGAATGGCAGTTT